AAAAAAGTGTCGATATATGCTTTCATTTTTCTTAATAATTAAAGTTAAAACTGAACTTTTTAAAATAAAGTATTTATAGTGTCATTTTCGCCAACTAGTAAAATATTTTTATAAGTTTAAAATGGTATTTTTTTAATATACTGGCCAAGAAAGTTTTTTTAAACTATGTTTATGAATGGAAATAATGTGTTAATTACTTAAAGTTTGAAAGCTAAGAACCAGAAAAAGTCTAACATATTTTTACAAAGAAAAAGAGGCAAAGTTATCATAATATCTTTGCGTGCGATCTTCCGAGATCTGTGGACACAGTGACGTCATGAGGAGGGAAATCGTAGCTTCAGCTCTAAAAGCGGAGTGAACTAGCCCTTCTATTATCTTTAGCCCTAAGTGTCATAGCGGTTGGATGTTCAAAATCGTATAATATACCTGAAACGCATTTTTTTTTCATATCGGCGACTTTTTTCTCNCGGAGTGAACTAGCCCTTCTATTCTCTTTAGCCCTGAGTGTCATAGCGGTTGGATGTTCAAAATCGTATAATATACCTGAAACGCATTTTTTTTTCATATCGGCGACTTTTTTCTCACAAATTTATTTATTTTTATGATTTGAAATTGCATACCCTGTTTTGTATGCACACCAGTTTTGTTTTTATATTTTGAATTTTTAGTTATTTTTTAAGGCCTTATTAACCTTTCGACGTATATGGAACACCTGTGTTCCTTTTATATATTTTTTCTGACGCTCTTATTACTAGCAACAATATATTTTGGTATTTCTTAATCATAAAAAACTGCTCAACAGGCACTAAGAAAACCTGTTAGATTTTTGGGGTTATATTTGTAATAAAATACGAATTCCAAAAAGTAGTTTGAATTTAATTTTTTCATTCATGTTCAAAAATTTATCAATAATTGAATTTGTAAAATAAGGAAATTTGATGATGAATAACTTTTTCTCTTACTTCTAAATAGCAACCAAAAAGTGAAAATTTCAAAAAATATTGTTTGGAAATGAACCGTTTTTGGAAAATTTCACCTTTAACGCAAGAAAAGACACCCGTGTTTCCTACTGAATTTCATAAACATATGTTAGTAAAATGCTAAATAGATTATTTTTCGCTTATTTTCACTTATATTATTATAAAATAATGAAAAAAGTATAATTAAATTTTCTTAATAAAAATCTTGCGTTAATGGGCTAAATACTTTACATTATTTTTACGCGTACCCTGTATACAATGAGACCACATTTTATCATTGATTTTGCTTTATAATATTACTTCGAATGAAACAATTGCTCGAATTACCTTTACCTAACGTTCCTAATATGAAAGTTAATTTTTTTTCCTTACTCAGCTTTTTCGTGAATCTAGAATTAGGAAAAAGAAACGTAACTAATTTCCTGACTAAAGTCGTTTAAATTATATGATGTTGTTGCTCACTGAGAAAAGTAAATGAAACTTTTTGTTTTGGGGTTGTTGTTACAGAGGAAATTTTAAATATCTTCTAAAACTGGATCTACAGCATTAAAAGAAGGGTAAAGTTTTTATTAACATGTAAATTTAGGGGGTAACTTTCTAATGTTAAACTGGCGAAATTTCATAACCAAGCTTTTAATTAACTTAAAGTAATTTTATGTAATTACTAATTTTAAAAAAAAATCAATTTAATTCGAAAATCAAAACTAAATTTTGGATATAAATTAAGTTTTTGTTTAATAAAACTCATTTTTAAAGGTGCTTAAAGAAAGTATTATAAACGATATTATTAAAAATAGTATTTTAAAGAAAACTAAACTGTAAAATCCTTGGGAAGTCTAAAGGTTTAATATATTAACAGAGAAAATATAATAACAGAGAAAATATATTAACAGAGAAAATACTAACAGAAAAAAATATTAACAGAGTCTTAGTTTATTAACAGAGAAAATCAAATTATATATCTTATGACTTTTTCTTATAATTGTTATTTATTTAAATTTTCTTTTCTAAACATGCTTTAATTTTTATTTTTCTATCTTAAAAAAATTTTATGCTTGTTTATTCGCTAGTCAAATGTGAGAATGCTGCTAGTGATCTTACATATTAATTACAATTCTAACAAAAATAATAGAAAATTACAAAAAAAAGAACGATAAAGAGCTATTATAAGACTGTGATTTTTTTTATAATGTATATTTTGGTTAGGAAACTGGAAATGTTGTTATTTGAAACTTTTTTATTTAGTTTTTAAACTAAGAACTGGAAACGAAATTATTTTAAACTTTTTTTTTGACATAGTTTCTTAACCGGAAACTGGAAATGAAATTATTTCAAACTTTTTTTTGACATAATTAATTCTTATTTTCAATCAAATAAATTAAGGTCTCAAAATAAATTCTCTCGATATTTCTTTTTAATTACATATTTGTGCTAAAATGTACCAGGGATCTTAATTTTAATTTAACGCGATTCACTTTTCCTCATTCAATTAAAAATCCCGAGAAATATTTCTGTTTTGATATACATTATTTTTTAAATAATTTTATAAGCAGCAAAATTTAAACAACTATTCAATATTTCAAAAGCTTTCAAATTGTAAGCCAGAATATAGTTTTTGTTCTGAAACCAAAATGAAAGATAAACAAATAAAGTTAATTTAAGCTTAATTCTAACACTTTAAATTTTCCTGGTTGACTGAATTGCAATTTTTGGTTGCAACTGTTTTCTTAATGCAAATAACGAACTTGAATTGAGTAATGTTTCATTCGTTGTACGAAAAGCAAAATTCAAATTAGTAGGATTTTAAAAACTTTCTTTGATTTTATTTTCCCTGTTATTGTGCACATTTTAACACACGTTTTTAATCTTATAATCTGAATTTTTACTTATATTCAAAGTTAGCTATAAGATTTGATTCGTACGAAATTTTTCAAAATTACTTGAATGATAATTTTTAAGTTTTTTTTCTTTTTATAAAACTCAATTTAGCGGGGATATTTTGTTAAACTTCTCAGACATTGATATTTAATTTTAAAATCTGCCCTAGGGGGGCTTTATCACTCAAGTTTTGTAGGTAATAGCAGACGATCTTCACCAGGCTTATCAGTGGGTATTTGAGATCTTTGACCTATTCCAATGGGAAAAAGGTTTTCCCAAACCTGTGTGAAATTTGTTGGCCATCAGGCTACCCCTGATTATGTACTAGATTGTCTGAAGCTTTCCAGATAAGATCTTTTCAGAAGCTCAATTCTAGTATTAGACTTTCTTAGAGTGACGGATTTCATTAACCTGATTTAGCGTGGATAAACAAAGGAGATATGCAGCAACAAAAAAAATTTCAAAATTAACTTTTAGGCAAAATAATATTTAATTTTTAAAAAAAAAATTCAAATCTCTTAAATTTAAAAAAGAAGGTTTTAAGTTATTTCAGTTGAGTTGAGGATTCAAACAAAACTGTAAGCATACTGAGTTTCCTCAGAGCTACCACATCGATAATTTAATAGCTGTTTAATATTAACAAAACAAGCATAATATATTCAATTATTGCAAAATTACAAGGCGTCTGTTTATAACTTTTACAAACGTTAAAAAAAATAGACGTCTCATGCAAAACTTGGAGTAATTTCAAAGCGATTCGACAGCAAGAAAAATCAGAGTAATCCATGCATTTTTAAAAAAAAAAGTTTCAAAAATGAGTACAAACTCCCTTACAGTTTCGCATTGTAAGACAATGGATACTCAAATCTCACAAAACGTTTTTTTTGAAAAACTGTTCCCTGGTATAGGCTCTGAGCGAACATCTTGTCAAAGTGATGAAATAACTATCTCCACTTCTTCGAGAAAATGGGTTTCGTCAAAATAAAGAAATCTCTCATCAACCTATTTTTTTTAAAAATAAAGTGTGGGTGGCATTGAAGATCACTTTTTCGTGGGGACCACATAGGTGAATAAACGTCACCCCAATAAAGAAGGAGAGACAGAACAGAGAGACAAATCATATCCACGCCCGAAGCGAGATTCGAACTTGTGATCTTTCCAGCATGAGGATAACTTCTTGACCATCATACGTAACGGTCGACTGATTTTATGTCGGATATTTGAGAGTTCGCATTTCATCAAAACTCAAGTGATTTCGTGACGAAATGATTCTCAAAATTAACGAAATACAGCTCAAGGATTGCAGAATCGTCAAAAGTAAGAGTTTTATATCTGAGGGTTCGCTGACACGAAAGACTTATACAGCTTATACAGTAAATCAAGTATCTGCTTCTTGAAAAAATTTCTACTTGGATCTGAGTTTGTAAATACTAAATGTAAATTATTTACTTTTATTTTTTAGAAACATAATAATCGAAAGCATAATTTAAATTTGGGAGAATATGTCGTACGACATAGCCCGTGAACAGTCATACCCGACACCTGTGGCCAATTCGACACTACTTCCCCTTATGTTGATGTCTCTAGCATCACAACAGAATGCTCCGACTCGAACTCAGACACCATCGACTATTGATTCAGAATATGATTATATCGTAGGTTAGTTTTATCTCTTTATTTTAAATGAAAAAGTTGTTGCTGTTTCTAAGCCACGTGCCAAATACCAGCATGACACCAAGTGAACTTAAGGCAGAGGTTCTTGTTATTCAGTGGCGCCATCTATGGCCATGAATACGTCTTAGGATACACACACGTCACAGAACGTTTTAACAGGCGGATCTATTCATATATCCATACATCGTAATTTTGACCTGCACCCGAGAACGATTAATCTGCAATTCAGTACCAAAGAGTTATTGATTTTTTATGGGATCTAGGAGAACTTTGTAACCCCGACAAATTTAACTTACACCAGTCACCATTTTGTCTTTGACAAGCGGGGAATGAACTCACGACTTGGTCCTTACTCCCTACCAGCTAGGCTATCCCGGCCATCTCTTACTTTTTATTTTATTTAATAACCGTCGTTGAACAGACGACCCAATTTTAGGTTTACGACTACTAATGTTCAACTCTGTATCCTNTTTAACTTACACCAGTCACCATTTTGTCTTTGACAAGCGGGGAATGAACTCACGACTTGGTCCTTACTCCCTACCAGCTAGGCTATCCCGGCCATCTCTTACTTTTTATTTTATTTAATAACCGTCGTTGAACAGACGACCCAACTTTGGGTTTACGACTACTAATGTTCGACTCCGTATCCTTGTAGTTTTGAGCCCAATACAGAAGATAAGGGAATTCCTGGATCAAGCAGTGGGAGAAATTTGCCTTCGTGGAGGACTTTTTGATGGAACTAACCCGCATTTGCGCTACATTCAGAGGAAGACCACGAGAACCTCCCACGGTTAGCCTGACGGCAAAGGAACTCAAACCCATGATCCATCTACCACTGAGGACATTTCTTGTCATCACTGTGGTCGATGCAAGCCGGATGCGGATTCGTATCGACCATCTTTGGGATTCGAACCCGGTTCATCTCATTGGAAGGCGAACGCTCTATCCCCTGAGTCATCACGTATCCCCTCTCTTTATTTGAACTATTACGCATCTTAAATACTGCTTAACTTTTTCTTCTTCTCTATGATAGCTCAAGGAATGGATTGCTAACCTTTCCAAAAAATCACCTTCTTCATGGAATTTAAATTTGTGACCTCGAATCCCAGTGATATGTTATTTGTCGGCAGTATAATAGCTATGAAATATTATTATTAATAATAAATATAAGGCTTATAAAGCTACTCAAATATTTTCGATTTTGTTTCGTTATACTATTTCATAAAATTGTAAAACGAAGGTATGTATTAATAATAATATATAGCATTATAAGTAATAATAATATAGAAGAAAATATATATTAAGAAAATTCCGTGGGCTGCTATTTTTTTCGCTTTGAGAGATAAATAAGAGAATTCTCTTTTAAATAATAAAAGAGAAATCAAATTGGTGTAGATTTTTTTGTTCTGCATCTTCATATAAGAATAGTGGAATAAATTTTATTTGAATAATTCAGTTCTGATCTGTTGGCCGAGATAGCCTGGTTGACAGGGCGCTGGACTCACGTTCGTGAGAACGGGAGTCCGAATCAGGCCGGTGGACGTTAAATCCGTCGGGTCACAAAGTCCTCTTTGTTCCCATAACAAACTATGCCTCTGGGAGTACTGAATTGGAGATTGGTCGCTCTCTGGTTCAGGTCCAAATTACAATCTATGGATGAATAAATGGATGTATGAATGGGTTCACCTTATAAACGGGTTTGACGTATGGGTAGAGTGAAGTCGAATACTTGGCCATAGATGGCGCTATTGGAAAACAAGAACAATCACAACTCCTCTACTTTAATGGCTGACGACAACAACAACAGTTTAGTTCGGTTAATATTTTGAAAGTAGCAAAACAATAAATATTTTTTAACTGTTTTCATTCAGTGGGATCTGGTTCAGCTGGTTCGACTCTAGCGAGCAGATTATCAGAAGTATCCTGCGTGACGGTTTTACTTCTGGAAGCTGGAAGAGGAGCTCCACTTTTGAATGATGTTCCGGTTTTTGGCAACTTGTTTTGGAATTCAGATCTCGATTGGAAGTATAAAACTACTCCCCAAAAACACACTGCCCGACTCCAGAAAAAAAGAGTATGTTTCAATACTTTTGCTGAACAAATTTTACTGATAATTTAATAGATAAATTATTTAATAAAAACCATTGAGTTCCTCAATTGTTTTAACTCAATTAAGTGATTTTATGCAGGAGACTCATGTATATGATTTTAGTGTGCCATAGGAATTTTTAAGGATTCATATTCATTTTCTACGTGAAAAGTAAAGTAGTTGCAATCTGGGAAATATGGTTCCAAACGTTTGGTCAGGAGAGCGATCTAAAGTTTGGACCCCTTAATGTTAATTTTACTTTTTACGTATTTGGCCATAGCTCGAGAACTTTCCGTCGATTTGAAAAATTTTTTTTGCACACAATTATAAAATTCGTTTATTCAAAAATAATTCCATGCAAAATGTAACTTCTAGTAAATATTTATTATTATTATTATTATTTTACTTAGAAATGGTTGGAAAACGCTTCAATTGTAAAGTGTAAAATTTTTTACATAATTTCAACGACTGTAATTTTACATGACAAAATACAAAATTTGGGGAAAATCGATCGGATAGTTCCTGAGAAATTAAATTTTAAAAATATGAATTCTTTAATCCTATTATCCTTAAAATTCTATTTAGGATTTCAAAGTTAAGAAGTGAGGGTTAAGCTTAGTATAAGCATTGAATGCAACTTTTAAAAATATTTTAAGTTTGTAGTATCATCATGAGTTTCTTGAAATAATTATAAGCTTCTAAACATTTCAGACACTCTATATAAGCATATTGGCAGCATTATCTTAAATAAAAAAATGTAAATAGCTCGTTAAAGAAACGCATTCTCTTAACTTCTCTTGGGTGCCCATCGATCTAAAGCTGTTGGGGCTTCAAACCGTCATTATGAATCTAACCCTATCCCAATGAAAGCTTAGTGTTTTTAACTTTTAGCCATCGTGGCTTATAACCTTACTGAATTTAATTTCTAATAAACTATTGAAAGGTTAATGAATTTGATTTTTAAAGAGACAATAGTTTCAGATTCACGCTTGATGTTAACACATTGCATGCGGGGAACTTTTCCAAGAAATATATTACAGCTGTTATAGATAAAAATTTTAAAAAAGTGGTAAGCAAGATTTCATGAAAGTTGGAGTAAACTTGTCGCTACTGATACAATTTCAATTTAAGATAAAATTTACGTCGAAAGATTGTAGTACTGATTACATATAGTATATGGTAAGGCGTAATTACCACTACGAGTATTAAATATCAATTCATTAGTTTATAAGATATGCTAACTCGATTCAATTTCGGGGTATCATTTGATAGATGAAAGTTTACAGAAGAAGTAGAAGGCTCTTTTCCCACATACATAACCTGCGGACGTAATATGAACAAGCTTACAACGAAAAGAGAGTCCACTTCGATAGATGGTCAACATTGAACAGTTGTCATGCTTTTTATGACTGCATCCTCCTCCTCCTCACACTGTTGCTTCTCAGTCTATGACACACAACGGTGAACTTAATAAAGCTCTCACTGCCAGTGTTCTTAAAATCCGTTGAACGTAATACAGCTCTCTGCGTCTTTCGCAACTAGTGGTATCTGCTCATTGAATCTTATCCCTAATGAAAATCTGGTGGGGAAGTATTGTGGCGTAACTACCACTACGGATTTTAAACATCAGTTCATTAGTATGAAAGACATGTTAACTCGATTCAAAGCTTTTGATAGATAATGGTTAGCATTGAGGATAACACTATCTCGACAACTGAATCTGTTGTGTATATGGTAATTTTTCAAAAACGTATTTTTTAGCTACGCGTTTGCAATGTGTTAAGATACTAATAGAATTATAATGTTGACCATTTCCTTCATAGAAAGTCGATTGGCCTAGTGGAAAAGGCTTTGGAGGAACAAGTTTGTTACATAATAATCTATATGTGAGAGGAAGTCATAAGAACTACGATGATTGGGCAGAACAAGGAGCAACAGGCTGGAGCTATAAAGATGTTTTGCCTTATTTTATAAAGCTCGAAGACAACAGAAGTCCTCAATATCTCGACGAAGGTTGGGTATCGAGCAACACGTTCATTTTTATTGCGTTAATGATCTCTCTCTTAATAAAAGTTGCAATATTGAAATATTTTTAGGTTACCATGGCAAAGGAGGTCCAGTTACAGTTGAAGAACCAAATTACGACTCCAAATTAAAGCACGGACTTATTGATGCAGTTGATGAATTAGGGTATGAGTTTGTGGATCCTAATGGTGCTAAACTAACAGGTCATTAATAATAGCCCTTTTTTAAAACAAAACTTGTTTTTTATTTCACAGAAAATTAAAAAAAAATTATTGCTTATGCATTTCAAGTAAAAAATCTTACAGAAAAATACAGAAAAATACAGTTACAGAAAAAATCTTACCAAGCCATAAAATTAAAAAAAAAAAAATTCTAACAAATAAGGATTTTGGGTTTACTATTATTAATTCAGGCTATCACTATAGTAGCTCCAATTTTTGTCCTTACTCAACCAATAAACACCATTGGTTTCTGAAAAAAGTTTTGTTTACTGTAAAAAAAATGCTACGACTATAATAAAAAAGATAGCTTATTGAAGTTCTGTTAAAAGAAAACTCAAACTAAGCAAAGGAATTTACTAATCCTTCAAAGTAGTATTGCTTATTAGTAATACTAGGTGATTAAGGATTAAAAGTATTTTTGATTTCGATACTTATTCTCTTAACCCCATTACTCGCTGGCATTGCGTTTGCTTAGCACTTTGCTGTGATGCAAAAGTACATTTTTGAAAATAAAAGCGATAGCAAATTGCTACCAATAATAAGCCTAAGCTATGCTGATAATTTCAAATGTGACTTCTTCTTTAATGTAAGAAAATATTATAAATGAATAATTTCAGATTAAAATATATCTATGCACATTTTCAATATATTTTTGCTACAACGTATACCTTTGTTTTAGCGTAATAAATTTGTAAGAATGAAATAATTTTATCGTCGGTTTTTATCTTTTCAAAAAAATTACACAAGAGAGAATAAATGTTCGGTCGTTTAATGGTACGCTACTGCGATGTTAATATTTAAACAAATTAATTTTAAAATCTAAAAATCCAATTTTATTCATAATTAAAAGATTATTATTTCATTTTTTAAGGCAATTTATAGACACCTTTAAACTAATATATGCAAATAGATTATTATTTGCATATATTAATTTAAAGGTGTTTATATATTGTCTTTATCGATTTTTAAAACAGTGATGGCAATAATTAAATTTAAAATGCTTAATTTAAGAAAAAGCATCTTTGTTTTATTAAAAGTTTTATATACTTTGAATATATAAGACTCAATGCTGGTAAATTTTCGTAGGTTTCTATGCACCGCAAGCAACTCTACGTGATGGTCAAAGGTGTAGTACAGCCAAAGCATATTTGGTACCAGCGGAAAACCGAAGCAACTTACATCTGCTTCCTTATGCTTTTGTACATAAAGTAATGTATAATTTTTAATCTATGTATTGGAGTATAGTATACAAAAGCATTAAACTCTAATTTTAAAAATGGTATTATTTAAAAATTAATGAAACGTAATTTAGGCCAAAACTAACTGTCGCTACTGCTCACAAGGTGGCTCATAAGTGTAGTGTTTTCCATTGTTTTAAAATGCGGATTGTATTTTTTCAATAGTTTAAAGATAAAATCAGTTGTTTGAGTTGCAGCTCTATTTAATCAAAAACGAGTTTCCATGAAAGTTTATTGTAATAGTATTTTTATACGTTATGTGTGTGATGAGCTCAAAGATAAACGTTTATGACATGTGATGCCTACCTTACCGAATCGGTAATTTTAAAGTTATCCGAAACCACGTGTGTGTATATTGAAGGTTATACTTTTTAAATGTATTTCTATAAACAGTAATTGAAGTGAAAAAAATTAAGTTATGTACTAAAGTACAAAATTAATGGAAGTAATTACCTAATTCAATTACATTAGGGAGCAATTTGTTTTCTGTTGCGTGAAATTTTTTAACGGATTTTTGATATTTCTACGCTGTTGGTATCAAATGTGCAATCGTTTTATCTCTCTTAGCTATCGTTTTTTTAATGACGTTTTTGTCTATATTTTATCAAAATGTATAAGTTTAAAAACGTTATAGATAACATAGATCTAGATCCAAATCTAATTGGTCGCATAAATGTTACGACAAGTATTTTGTCAGAATTAATATTGCATAAGAACCTATGCCCGAACATACGCTACTTATCATACGCCACGTTATCGTACGACACTAGGGGGCTTCCCCTATTAAAAACTGCTTCTCCGTATGCCCCTGAACAGGCCATAATAAAGAAATGCCTCTAGTCGCGTACGATGACTATTTCGAGTATGGTTTTATATGGAATTTTAATTTTAATCATGTGCCCTGACTCCACTAGAAGTTTGTCGCAACTTTATAACGTATAAAATTTTTTAAACACGTTCATTTGGACAAAAAATGCCATTTTTAAAAATATTTGTAGCTTTAGGATTAAAACTAATTTCAGGTTTGAAATCCTCATACCCGAATTAGGCAAGATCAAGCATATGCGTAAATAATAATAAAAAATAAAAAAAACATTTTTTCCCCTGTGATTCCCCATTCCATTTATCGTGACATTTATCGTGATCATAGTTAATCTTTATTTTGGTAAGTTGGACTTCTATTTTTTTTTTGCTTAATCTAGTAACATAAAGCCACCGGGAATTACGACAGGGAATAATGTTAAATAATTAGAATTATTTGCTTGTGTCGGTATACGTTTTTCAAGCTCTGAAATATTGATTAGTACTTATTAATTGCTTATTTACTTTTTTCTTTTTTGACCCATGTGAAGAACTATTCAGCTAATGTTTAATTTAATTCGAATTCCATTTTATTCAATTTCGTACTAAACATTAGGATTCGAGATTCCTTTTACATGTTCAAATAAAAAGTGTAAATCAGTGCGTGTCAAAAGTTGTATCCTTAAAGTATAAAACACGTGCAATTTTTGAACTATTCGCTCAATGGACTCTGAATTGATTAGTTACAATGCCTCACTTGTTTAGATAGCAGTTTTTAGTTTTTTTGTTTAGCATATATTTAGATAGCATATATTTGGTTATTTTGATAGTAGTTTAGCTTTTTTTAAATAGGTACAAATTCAAAATTGTATTTTTTGTACTTAAAACCCCTATACCTCCTATTTTTCCACAATAGGCATTCCATATTTCCGTTAAAATTTCTTTAATCTCTTAAAATAATCTTTTTTAAGTCATTCTTAATCGAATTGCAATTAAATTAAATCAATTATTTAATTTTTATTACAGTTTATAAAAAGCTAATATTTTATTCTTTTCTTATCGATCAATATAATGGCTAACTTTTTATTTCAATATTAATGTAAGACTAATTAATTCACTGTTGTGACTAATCGAAAGCAAAAATTTATTTATAACTCTTTATTCCTTATGTAACAAGCTCCTCTTCCCCCCCACTACAGCGCCTCTGGCGGTGAACTAAGACAGTCTGCCAGGAACCGCCGTTAAGCACGGACGTTTAATTCGAGTCCAAAACCCCCTCTTCCAAATTCTTGTATTTTTTTATCCTTGTTTTATTTTTATGTGTTTTGTCCTTTTCAATAAATATTTAGAGTTAGATAATTTCTAGTCTTTCATTATTTATGTGAATTGGTAGAAATACAAATAAACCAAGACTTCCCCTACACTTACCAAAACTATGTCTCAGTTACATTGTTATACGAATTCTCACAGTCTTGTCGGCGATTCGAGATCGCCAAATTATTTCAAATCGAATATTGATTATGCTTTATTTTTGGCGATATTATCTTTCGATAAATCACCAATCTTCGATCTCTTCCCATGCTCCTAACTGTCCGTTGGGAACAATTCATTCACTTTCAATTTTCAATTTTTGGTGACTGCGGGTGCCCTTTTAGGCCTCTCTCCCAGTCCCAACTGTTGAATATAAAATGCTAAATAAAATTCTCGATGTAAGAGAATGTTTTATCTTGATCTCTTTAAGAGATTTCTGTTCCTTATTATTTTTATATTTTTAAACTGTGGCCATTTTCAATAATTAATAAATTTTTTTTAAGCGATTTTATTTATTTCTCTGAGACAATTATCATTTTATTGCATCCAAATTAAGATGCATCTGTAACGGCCGAAAAGTCAATAATGCTACCTGTACAAAGCCACTAATTAATTTAAAACGATCACCGCCGTTACACTCCTAAACTCTTAGTCCAATTGAGTCGGATTTGGTATCATTCAAATTGAAGTGAAAAAATACATCGAAAACTACCACTCAATTGTCAATTTAGAAGAAATTGAACGTTCCCCCTTCCCAAATTGGGACTACCCCCTTCTGTTTTGGGAGATGCTAATCCGTTGAAGATAAAAGTATTCTTTTTTTTAGAAAGTACGCTTTTGAATCTGATTTCGTAACATAAAAAATCGTCTGCTCTAATTAGTGAGCACGATTGAAATCACCCTGTTTGAACCATGAAGATTGAGTCCTAGAACGTGAAGATCCGATCATTAAATCAAAAGTTATTCAAGGTTGACCGGGGTTTTTGGGAGCACTGTGCACTAAATACAGGGTTATTCATAATTCCTTCCGGGGTTTCGAAGCAAAAAAACGAAGACGAATATGGCGAAAAAGAACATATGAAATTATTCTGAAAGTATTCGAGTTTTAATTTAAGCAGTTGCCGGTAGATGGCAGTAACATGTAACACTGAAGACAGTTGTAGTAAAGAAAAATGGCGTTTACAGGCTGAGGGAATTATGAGTAACCCTGTACAATCTCAAAAAATAAACAAGTAAAAATTTTAAAGGTATATTTTATTTCTAATTTCTTCCAAACGTACTTTATGAAGCATAATGATGGAGAGAATAGAGCAGTTAATTTCATGGAATAAAGGTTTTGCAGAAAATGGTAAGAAAATAAAAATTAAGATACCTTTCATGTTCTCATTTTAGGTTATAATAGAAGGTAACAGAGCAGTTGGAGTATTATTTGATGTCAATGGTACAATTTATGAAGTCAAAGCCAAAAGAGAAGTCATCTTATCAGCCGGTACTGTCAATACAGCTCAGTTGTTAATGTTATCAGGAATCGGACCAAAGGTTGAACTTAAAAAACACAATGTTAGTAACACTTTTAACTATGAATTCATGTACCTGATGACGGAAAGATAGGTTCATTTCTTTTCTTTCCTTCGGTATCTACTGTATTATACAAGAGGTGTTTTGTAATTACTGCCTTTGATGTATATTTTCAGAATACTTGTCAAAATTGAATGCAAAAAATCTGTGGAACTTTTTACGAAAAATGCAAGATTTAAAACATTGAAATCTATTTGATTGCCTAAGAAAATTGAGAGGAGGAGAAAAGTAATTATTAGAAATGTCTTAAAAGTTCATACGGCAATCAAACTGGTTATTGTATTTTTAATTTCAACCTCCGAACTAGTTATTCATCAGATTTTGAATACTGTCATTCATTTTGTCACGTATTTTTCGCTCTACTTACTTTTATATTTTTTTTCCTTCCGCTAACATGCACACTTTTTTACTTTCATTTTGTTACGGATTGTAAAAATACACATCAAAGGCAGTCATTACGCAATACCATGTGTTCACCTACGGCATCATAATATCTGAAACGTTGATGAAAAGCAAATTAAGAAACTTTTAAGTAGCTAGAAATTTTGTATGGTAAGAAAGTTTCAACGAATACACTGTTAGAAGATTTGGAGATTTTTTGAACCATAATATCGTTTAAATTTGCTGCAACCTTAATATGATTCTAAGCTTGACCATGTTATCGCATTCTCTAACTCTATTATTACACTTGATTATGGTTCAATTTGAATGGAAACATCCTTCAATTTAACACCTTATTAGGATTGCAGCGAATTCGCAGCATATCAAGCGGTTCAAAGTACCTAAATTAGGTTTGAACGGTGAACTGATTTTTCTGAGAGTGTATGATAACTTTAATAATGCGCATCATATGTATGAATGTCACAATAATTACAATATGATACATTCAATGTGCATAATGTGTATGATAGTTACAATGTGTTGATATTTGTGATAGTTTCATTGAGTAGAATTTCTGTTATAGTTTCAATGTGTAGAATTTGTATGATAGTTTCGATGTGTACTACAGTTTTAACGAGTAGGATGTGTGAAATAGTTTCTATGTGTTGAATGTATACTATAGTTTCAATTTGGTTGAATTAATATGACAATTTCAATATACAAAATGTGTAGAATATATATGATACATGTGTACTATAGTTTCAACGTGTATAATGAGTTGGACAGTTTCAAAGTGCATGATAGTTTCAATATGGGGGTTATGTATATTAGCTTCGATTTTAGGGATTAACATGATAGCTTCAACGTTTATTATGGTTTCATAGTGTATGATGTGTATAGCTTCAACGTGTACCTATGGTTTCAAAGTATATGATGCGTATATCCTTAATGTGCTTAATAGTTTCAATATGTATGATAGATTCAATGTGTAGAAATAACATGATAGATTGAACGTATATAATGGTTTCAAAGTGTATCATGTGTATGATAGCTTGCCTCGAAGTGCATGATAGTTTCAATACGTAGGATATGTATGATAGCTTCAATGTGTGGATTTACATGATAGCTTCAGCTTGTACTGTGCCCTCTAAGTGTATGATGTGTAAAGCTTCAACGAGTACTATGGTTTCAAAGTGTATGATGCTTATAGCTTCAACGTGTACTATGGTGACAAAGTGTATTATGCTTATAGCTTCAACGTGCATTATGATTTCAAAATGTATGATGCGTATAGCTTCAACGTGTACCAATGATTTCGAAGTGTAAGATGTGTATGATAGCCTCAATTCGTAGGAGAGTTTAAATGTATACGATGTGTATCATAACTTCAATGCGTGGTATATTTATTATAGCTACTATGTTTATTGTAGTGTAAATGTGTTGGTCATAAATGATATCACATAGTCACAGAAAAAATAAAAAATATATGTTTCGTTTCAGATTACTGTTGTAAGTGACTTACCCGTGGGAAGGAACTTTCAGGACCATTGTGCTACAATCAGTAATTTTGAATTGAATTCAGAATCCCAAACTGTTGCAGAAAAGTTGACGAATGAAACAAATATTAGAGATTATATTGACTATCGCACAGGTAATGTTTTAATACACATTTTTAATGAAATGTTGAGATTGTTCTAGATCTTATCAGAATGCATGTAAAGAAACTTTATCATGCGAAACGCTGCTCCCTGCAAACCTGCTTCTAATAAGAAGGAAAAAAACTGTAATACAGATCGCATATAATGTAAATGTTTAAAGCTATACTATCTGAATATCACGTACATAATAAAAAAAATTGGTTTATATCATTTTTCTTAAAGAAATATAATAAAATTTTCTTTATTTTTGTAATAGAGGTACGTTTCTTATTCTGCAAAGGTGTTAAAACAAAATACGTATTTAGCTGTAATATTATTATCTTTTGACACTTCTTTTGTTTTAAATAGCTCACATTACTTTGGTTTAAAAATATTTAAATCAATTAGAAATTTATACAAAAATCGCTTTCCGATAAAGTTTATATAAATTATTAGTTTTCATTGTAATGTAGAACTTCCTATATCTCTTTTCTTCAAATAATAATTGAAATCTTCAAAGAATGGTAGAGTGTCAGTAAAATCAGTCTTTATTCATCAATTATTCATTAATTATAAACGGATTAAAATATATTTCATGGATAACGGAGCTTACTTTAGTAATATACAAGGTGATTATGAAATAATTTAATAAAGGAAAGCTCCCCTTAAGAACATACCCTTTATAATAACAGAATAATATTTTGTATAAGTGCTTTGTGTACAAAATATTTTGCATTATGATATTATAAAACATGCGCTAAGAATAATGTTAGAACAAATATCCAGCTCTCACGGTTGTAGATACAGGGACAGAATTTCGAAGCTTTTAATAAGAAACTCTAAAAATTTCTCAGAGAAACATGCTTCTCACATTAAAAAACTAATAAATACATTAGCATAATATTTTGTACATGAATTGGTTCAACGCTGAGAAAGCAAGATGTTGCATACAAATCACTGTGATTTTCTCAACTTTCCCATTATTGCCAGAGTTGAATCTCGGATAAATTTTAAATATAAAAAGTAGTCTTTTCTTCATCTCTGCTTAGTACCGCTGTTTTTCGTGATAAAAAATATTGTTTCCATGCACTTTAAGATTTTAAAGTGTCCAAGTAAGATCTCCCGAATCGCTGCTTGGGAAACACGGTCCTATTGAACCATGTTTACCGGGTTGCGGCTACTACCTCTATTTTGGGGGACATAAATCCGAATATCGTCGGCACTAATTAATTAGCATGCTTGTGGTCATCCTTTTGAGCCATTAAGAAGAACGTGAAGATCCGATCATTAGATCAAAAGTTATTCAGGGTGATTAGAGCATCCTTTAACAAAATCGGAGGTCCTTGATTCGCTTCCTGTCATCAGCCAACATATATTCTTCTCGCGCATTTCTCCTTTCCCATGCGTTTTGCTCAAAATTGAGCGAATGTTGATTTCAAATTTCGAAACAAAATGTCTTCAAATTCGACTATTATTTGTTTCGGAGCTATTTTGACTCATTTTTACGCAATTTTGCGAAATATTTTGCGTAAGTGTATGTACAAATACATTTGAATTTACCGTCGCTGGTTGAAATTTTAAACTAGGATAAAAATTTTATAAAGAGAACGAAATTCGATTCGCTATTCCAGAGCTTCAGGTGATTCAAGAATTTTACCTAACTTTAAACAGGTTGCTATTTTTACTACACCTAACTCTTGATGAAGAGCCCTGTTGTTTAAACGAAAACAAACATTATAATGCGAAGACTTTGCTTCATGTGTGCACATAAATTATATTCTAATATCTAAAATATATTAGAATTTATACAGGGCAGTGAAATATATTTCATTAAGAATTAGAACAAACGCAAATTGTTATTTTTTATGTTAATATATATGAAAGAGTAACATTTCAAATAACATATTAGAAAAAAACTCAAAAAATAAAACGCTATACCCCGATATATTCAATAATATTATCATCAATTAATGCGTATCAGTATGTTAATATAAAAACTTCCCATATGGTGTCATGGTATGTTTTGTACAAATATGATTCCGATAATCTAAGAAACTTTTTTAGTAACCATTAGACTGTTTTTTATATTTAAAAAATGACAAAATATATTTTTGCTTGTTATTAAAACGTCACATACATATTAAAGATTCACCGGTGCCCCATCTGATACTAAAGGTTTAACCACATATTTCTGTGATAATCTCTTTGTACGTTTTATTAAATATTTAAATACTTATTACGAAAATTAAATAAAGCTCCAGAGTATAAAAATCACAATTAAAAATCATTAAAATTTTAATTTTTCTACAAGTGGCCCAATAAAAGAGACACTTCATTTCTCTCTTTTATTTGAGTTTTTTGAATATTTTATGGTCTAAAATTAAATAATGATTGTTTTTCTTTCTTTTTAAAGGTCCTCTTGCTAGTCTGGAATTTACATCAACTGTAGCATTTTTAAAAGGATTAAAAAAAAAGGCCAAAAGTGGATGATCCCAACTATGAGCTTTATTTCTTGGAATCCCTCGATCAAGTAGGAGCGTCTCTAATAGATTCTGTAAGTTTTGTTTACATTTTCAAGCTTTTTAAAGATATTTATATAAAAAGTAGATAAAAAAATGTGTTTAGAAAAGTATGTGAAGAAAATTGTATAAATTTCAGAAGAAATTTAAAGGATAAATCCATGAATACAGTTTTATTTTTCTATCATCGATAGATAGCCTATTCACCAATTGGTTACAATGCATTTATAATTTTTTTTGTCCTTGTACATCCGTTTTCGTATTTTTGTACTCACCTTTTATATTTATTTTCACACTCTTTGTAGGAAATAATAGCTATGTACAAGTATATTACCCGATTAAAAACTTCACACGCGTCAAAAATAATACAAAAATGAAACAACAGTCGACATGTTTAAAGCGCATCGAAAATAGGAGCCCATTTTCAAGATTTGACAGACGTGAATGTAACGAAACAAAAATTATTTGATAAAAATTAACATAAACTTTACCTTTTTTTTTCATTATTATTATATCTTTATTTATATTTAAATCATATGAAGTTTTTAATCAGGTAATATATTAGAGCTTCAGTTTCTTGTGATTATTTATATAACTAACTACGTATATTGTTTTCATTTTCTTTTTCAAATGTAGGCTTTCAAGCAAGTATATGGCCCATATAAAAATAAACCATTCTATACATGTGGTGTTCAACTCACTCAGCCTTGGAGCAGAGGGACTGTAACATTGAGTTCATCAGATCCTCATGAACCGCCAGTAATTGATCCTAATTATTATGGCAATAAAAAGGACTTGGCTGATATTGTTTCAGGTAAGTGCTATTAACAGAAAGAAAGTCGACAGTAAAAATATAGTTTCTTTGAGTTACAGATTGACCTGGATATAGCGGGGCATGCACCATATAGGGCGTTGGATCCATGTCCGAGAGGTTGTTAGTTCGACCCCCTCCGGCCACAGACACACCGTGTACAAAATGGTGGCTGGTGCATGCTACATCAGTCGGGGTCTCAAAGTTTTCCAAGTTCTCATAACAAATTAACCCTTTGTAACTCAACAACTGTGATTTAAGAAATATTTACGCGGATGTTAGAATACATCATATTAAGCGTGTAAAAAATAATGAAAAAATTAAGACCCTAAAATTAAAAATTTATTGATAAAAAGCATTTGTTGAACATCTCCAATATCGTGAAAAATAGCACAAAAATTCCAATATATTTCAAACTTCATGTGAAAAATTTTGAAATTGTTGTTTTTATGGTAACAAAGTCTCACACCACATTTTTCAATCCCTCCTTAGCCAAATATACAATCAAGGGGATTGTTGTAAAAAAATTGTTTATCCTGCAATTATGTCGTGGAACAATTCTTGCTAAACGCATTATAATATTGGTAGCTGCACCAAGACTTGGTTCCCCCGAGTTTGCAATATTTTCTTAACCTGAACTTGGTTTGATTTTATAGGTAAATCCAGCTCATTATAGAATTGAATTTTCATGTATGTTGCAGATATGTAACGTGGTGATACAAAGGGTTAATACCTCTGAGGGTACTGGATCGCAGATTGATAGTGCTCTAATTCATTTCAAAATTAGGATCGGCGGATAGATGGTGTGTAAATGTGTCCTTCCTGAAAAAACGGAATGTGACGTATGTTTGTTGTTTGTTGTCTTCAGGGATGTTTCCCAGACCGTTGCCAATAGCAAATAGTGCAGGTGACGTAAATAAAAGTACCGTATTGTAAACTATCTAAATCCTTTCTTAGGCCTTTTGAAGATTATTTACCATCTACATGATCTTATAAAATACATGTGGGAACTCAAACCCCATTATAATACATTTGCCTTGCTATTAAAATACAGGAAACACTTATTTCCGTTTGAGTTTGGTGCTGTCGTCTATGTTTCTATCGATTGTATAGAATCATCACATTTGTTTTTAAAAGTTTGAAAGCCTCGTGTGCGATCTGTTCTGCTATAATACCTGTTTTGATGTGACATTTGTACTGCTCAACGATTCTACGATTCTATTGTAAATGTAAATAATTTCGTAAATGTGAATGTGTTAATTTATAGCAAATGTAAATGTGCTTTTATTGTAAAATTTGGAAAAATATGAGTTAAAACTTTGGCAAATTAAAATATATTTCCCTAAATGCTATTGTTTAATTAATAAAACCTAAAAAACTGGGAGAAATTCAACAAAAAAAATGGCCCCCCGAAAGGATTAAAGTGATATGATTATCCCTTAATAGTTTCAGACCATAATTTAACATTTTGTGTTAGTTTACTGGTTGTAAATATTTTTCTATTAAGACTAAGTAGTTTGTTAAGTCATTTAAGTTGGGATTGGTAACAGTAGGAACGTGGCCCATTATAATTATGCAGCAATTGATAGTATCGTATTGGCAGCTGAAAAAAATATCATTCTAACCTGTGCCTACTGAAACACGATCCAGGGAAGGGAAAATAATTTTTCAATGAGGGTTAAATGATTCAGCTGTTTGGGGGAACGAACAACAAAGGAAGATGAAACCGAGATGCATAATCGAGGGAGAAGACGAAGAAAGTTTTTAGATGAGAAAATAATTGTTCTGGTGAAGCGTTGAGAATTAAAGCTGAGTAAGGTTTGTTGGCAGGACGAAACCATACAATTGTAATTTAAAATTGGTAAAGCAATTTTAAAAAAAGGCAACGTCAGTGCGGTACAATACTTTTATTTACGTTGCACTAGAAAAGCACAATGGGTTATTAGCGATGGTCTGGAGAACATACCTGAGGATGATCCGGAGACAACATACATCCGTCACATCCCGCTTTACAGGGAGGACACTTTCACACATCAGCCATCCATCAGCAGATCGTAATTTTTATCTGTACCAGAGCACGATCAATCTCCGATCTAGTACCCTCAGAGGTATTGATTTGTTTTGGGAACTTGGAGGTCTTTATGAGCCCGAAAGATTTAGTGTGCACCAGTCACCATTTGGAAGGTCTTCGGCAGGCAGGGATTGAACTCATGACCTTTCGGACATGAGTTCAATGCCTTACCAGTCAGATTAACCTGGCCCGACCCCTCGTCTGAATAAACAATTGAATATTTTTATATACTGGTATAAGTTTGGAATCACGTCCGTTTCATCAGTTGGGATAAAAAAAATTAATTCAATCAACTTTAGTTAAGTAAATGAAGGCTTATAAAAAGAAGATACTTTTGATAAATCTTAAGAACATAAAGCTAAAATAACTTATCTTCCATCAGTAGCTGATGCACAAGGTAATGTAACATGAAGAGGACAATAGGGTAGCATCTAAGATTAATGCTCTTTCAGAGATATCCGCAACTTGATGATGACCAAGAAGCTTGTAACGGCCTATAGGGACCATTCTTATTGCATGCAAATAATTCTAGCTTGTTCATATTGGTCTCATTTTAGACAATATTGACAATATATAGACAATGAAATCAGTTTTCGTTCACATCTCAAATTTCGCCTCCTCGAATTTTTCGCATGCGTGAAAGATGCTATTATTGTGTAACAGCGTTTTGAGGGCTGCTAGGTATGGAATCTTTTATCACTCTAGCAATTTATTGAATAAAGAAAGGATTTATAAAAATGCTCTACGTTGGATAATTTCAAATTAGATTTTGGATTGCCAATAATAGCTATATGTTTGAAGAAGTCGGATTATATTGTTGAAAAATGAAATCAAATATTAAATATGATAAAAAGCTATAACCTATTAACTTTAATCTGAAATGTTATTAAAAATGGAAGCATAGTTTTTATACGCGTTTAACGTCCATCTTCCGCATGAATAAAATTTTTTCATTACATGTAGGTAATATTTAAAAATGATAGAAATACAATAAAAACTACACGATGAGTGTATTTCGATGGATGTTCACGCTCCTAGTTTACATATAACCGAATATAACAAATTTACATATAACAGATACGCTTCTAGTTTTACATATAACCGAAAAAAGTTTGATTTTGAAAGAAAATCTATTAATTTACTTTAAATAAAACTATACTACAATCTATTTTTGGAATTATTTTTTGAAAAAAAATAAACTTTCTGGAATTGATGTTAAATGAAAAATTAAATAGGGTAAACTAACCAGTGAAGGCTTAAGCTTCGCTTGCCTTTTAAAAAATCATATTAATTTCAAAATTCGTAATTATAGTTAAATGACAGTGTCTACATATTTGCTACTAAATGCAAATTATGTAAAAAAATTTTTAGATAACTTACATAATATTGTTTTAAAGTTTTGGAGGTTCAAATAACAAGTAGTAAGAAGACCAAGTGAAGGAACAGCTCTTACCAGTGAAGGAACACAAAATTTCCCTGTAAAGGAACACTTAATTTTGGTTATTTTTAAATGCTCTTTATGAATTCATAAGTCATGCAAATATTTAAAAACAAGCCTATTCTTGAAATTATAACATACAAATACTTGGAAAATGTTAACTTTTTTTTGTAATCAGGAATTGAAAATTAAAGTATCAACATATTAACACATACTGTTCATTCACTGGGAAATCTATGCCCAGTAAACGAACATGCTTGTTCCCTCACTGGTTAGAAGTTTTTTTTTCGTATTTGTAACATACTTTTGATGCGGAACATCACTAAAGGTACAAGAAAATTAAAGTTTATCTTTTATTTTCATTAACTTAGAAAAAAATCCAGTAAAGAAGCACTTTTTCCTTTACTGGTTTTTCCTCGTTTGGAGATCCAGTGAATAAACACCCCCTTATCTTAGTACTTTATTATGCTATGATGCTTAAAAAAATAAAACGTAACTTCAATAACTATATTTTGAATTCTCTTTTTCACAGTGAGAAAAATAAAACTATTACATGCAATTAATTTCACTTCAAACATATAAATACAAACACTCGCCTTATAATGCATTTCCACGCGATATGGAAAGGTTTTGCTTCCTCACTAAACCTCCATAGCGCTTGGAAACGCAGTTTACCCTGATTTGCCCTTCTTCTGCCTCTGTGAATCTTCAGGTTCTGTTTTTTATTTCTCTCTCTCTCTCTCTCTCTCTCTCGGTTACTCAGGTTTTTCTAATTTTATTTCTCACCTTTATTTTTCCATTTTTCGTTGGCAATTTTATGTTTTTATTTTTTTTTCAATTTCAAATCACTTTTGTTTCTTCGCATTCACACCTGACAACTCTTGAAATTGATAATGGGTGATTTTTGAAGCATTTGAAACATGTCGACTATTATTTCCGTTTTGTATATTTTTTGAGCAAATGAAATTTTAAATCAGGTAATAAATCTTGGTTTGCTTTCTACTTGAGAAACATCTGAGTTGAAAAATTAATAGTGATAAAATTAATTAATCATTTGAAAGAGAATTAACAACATAATATATTCTCAAAATTATAATAAGTTGAAAAATTATTAAAAATATTATTTTTAAAAATTTTACAGCATTAACGCCTATGAAACTTAATTTAAGTACATCAAATCAAATTTTCATGTTTTATTCCTTTAGGATTAAAAGTATGTCATCGCTTCGGAACAAGTAAAGCAATGAAGAAATTAGGCTCTAAACCCTTCAATACCACCTATCCTGGCTGCGAAAGATACTCCAAAAATCAAAACAGGCTCTTCAAATGCATGGCTGAATCTTTCGTATTAACTCTAAGTCATCAAGTTGGCACAGCCAAAATGGGAGATCCCCGCGATCCATCAACTGTGGTAGATCCATATTTAAGGTAAATAACCCTCACTTTGGAATTCATTTTTATTTGGCTTAATTATCTACTTTCAGTTTAATTTTCTTAGATAATCTATGAGGATATATTTTTTTAAGTAAGAACTGTTTTTGTGATGGAGTAATAGAAACTTTATTTTTAAACGTAAATTGTATCAAAATCCAAAATAAGAACATTTATTCACTTTTCAACATGGCCACCATTAACATTGAAATATTTGTCAAGTTGTGGCACCAGCTTTTGGATTCCATCATCAAAGAACTCTGCCACCGTACCATTAAAGCAGTTAACAATAGTTTCATTCAATATGGGGTCATTTTACTTGCTTCAGAAAATTCTTTCAGTTTTGGAAATAGAACGACGTTTGATAGGGCTAAGTCAGGGCTGGGTGGAGGATGATCCAGTACTTAGCATTCATGTGAGTAGCAGATTGTTCTTCATCACTAGCATTTGTTCTTTCCTCATAAAAAAGCTTTCACCTTTTACGCACATTTCCATCATCCCTTCTCCTTCGATAATCTACCGGTGAAATTCAGACTTTTTTTTGCCTTTAGAAACTGAATAACTGAACATACTTCACCATCTCCGGGATTGCTGATTGAGATGGCGATAAACGAAGCAGTGTTAACCAACACCGACAGAGACTAGTCAAGAGTTTTCGATCTTCAGCAGACGTCGCTTAACAGTATGCGTAGGCACGACGCGTAGTCGATTCTTAGTTTAAAAATGACCCCCGTAAGAATTTTTTCTCTCTTTTCAGAAAAAAAAACTAAATTACATTTGTTTTTGTTTTAGTATCTATAAGATTCCAAGATCGTTAAGACACGGCTCCCAGCACATCACTGTAGTCAAGCATCACTGGCTGCTGTCAGTGTGCGGGTGGGTGATCACTTGGATCACTTTGCGTAGGAACCGAGGGTGTGCGGTATTGGTTCTCGTTAAACTGTTCTACCGTAAAGTGCTTGACTTCGCGTGCAGGTCGTTGGGCTGCCGAAACGGGGGTGCCATCCCCTGTTTTCAGAGGATCAAAATTGTGATGGCATGTCCTCGGATCATCCTTAGGGATGCTTTCCACACCGTCACCAATAGCCCATTGTACAGCTCTAGTGCGATGTAAATGAACTACAACAACAAAAACCATAAGATTCCAAAAAAAGAGGGAAAAAATAAAAGAGAAAATAAGAAAAGCATACATTTTAGAACAACAAAAGTTTCAGCTTTTTTTGCTGAGATCCTTTCTTTTCACACGATTTTTAACGGATTGATCGGAGCGAAGATATGTAAAGTTAACATTTTTCATAAAAAGTTACAAAATAAAAATTAAAGCAACTAGTAAGCATGCCTAAACCCTTGTTTATACAGTTATTACGGGAAAAATAAGCATGGCGTTTGCGAAAGACGAACAACCACATAATTATTCATATAAATCTCGAGTATAAAAATATTTACAATCTTTGTTTTCAGTACACGACTCATAGGACCAAGTCTAGTAGCAGAACCACTGTACTGATCAGCAACAACATCGAAAAATTCTAAACAATATCTGCAGATTGTGCTGTAAAATATTTGAATACAAATGTAACACTTTTGTGGTTAGTAAGTTTTAAAAATCAAGCATGTCTAATGTTACAAAATATTGTAAACATTTCTAAAAGAAAGTTTAGTTAATTGAAACTTAAGGGAGAAAGTTAAGTTAATTGAAACCAGAGGGAGATGAAAGATAAGTTATTATTATAGGGAAGATCAGTTTTTCTTAAGTTAACTTATTCACTACTGAAGTATAAAAGAATATAGTAAAAAAATATCCTACAGTTCTGAATTTCTATTTTACTATCATAAGTCACAGTAAGATAAACAAAATATAAATTATACTGTCAGGGAGATAATAATTTAAGATACAAATACCTGGACCTCAGGTTTTAATTAAATAATGAAATATTTCAAATGATAAATTGATAATAATTGATAAAAGTTTGAGCTAAGTACAATGCAATACTGCTGAGCTTCAAAACTATTTTAATTATGCAAATCCCGCAACATTAGTTATAGAAAATAATCTAACATTAATTATAAAAAATATTTAATTCTTTTGGGTTAATATTTCAAAATTATGGAAAAGAAACACAAAAGACCTTAATATATAGCAATTAAATAAAATACACTTAAAAATATTATCTATTGCTATGAGATTTCACTTGACTGCTACGCAGTCATAAATTTCGCCATACGCACACATATGCCAACCTGTATGTACTTGACTGCATTATTCTTAAGTATTAAGTAAGTATAAATTTAAAAGCTTCATACAAATCACAGAACTACTAAGTAAAAAGAAAAGTAATTATTTTTGGAATAACTAAATTATATAATATTTAAAATTATTTACGTTTTCTAGCTCATGGATTTAGCATCATTTTTCAAAAACCACTTCTGTTTAAGTGAAATTCTACCCAAATAAATTACATGTTCTGCATCGATTGGAATTCACAGAAAGCTTAAACGTTTACGAATGTTTCAGTGGGGTAAAAGTTTAAATTTTTTATAGCGTGTTTTCAGAAGCTAAGAAGCGAAGGACCACGTATGTGGACCAAGGTTATGAAGAGGTTACACTTAATTTTGTCGGCAATGTATTTGTTTATTTTTGACAGCGAGGGCGACAAAATGTGCGGCCCTCTATAGTTCGTCTAAAGTAAGAATTCCCCTAGCTATTCATCAGGACCCGTGGAGGTGACTATGGCAACGAAGTATAACTATTTCAAGTAGGGGTGTGGGATCACTGTTTAGGACAGATTTAGGCTCGGGTCCAAAAGGGAATCTTTTTTTCTCGGTCTATTGTGTTTGTCCTAGAGTGAAGAGAAACTACCCTCCCTGAAATGCGCTATTCTTGTTTCCATAGCAGCAGATAGCCTCAGATTTTGTGGCTGGGGGAGTTCTTAAAGTAAACAAACTATAGTTCTGCACCAAATATTGCAAGTTAGGCTCATAATCCATTCATCCTTCCCATATTTATTTAAATCAAAGTGATAATCTTTTCTCATATGAGCTTAGTAGTATTAAATACTATGTAACACTCTACCTTGTCTTTTATGATCAAATGTGAAACTTCGATAGTCTTGTTTATCAAGCTTTAATATTTCGAGGCTGGTTTAAGAAGATATGAGCACACCTGCAGCTTAGCCATATATCAAGAGTTCGAGCTCTTTGTCAGACTGTCTGCTCCTTCTATCAGATGGGAAGGCGGCAAAGCGTGTTAACACTCTATATAGCTATTTTTTGTATCTTTGTAAAACCTGATTGCTTTCGGTAAAATCAAAAGGCTAATTTTGAAGGTTGAAGGGGCAGATCCATTGTTTTTTTTAAAACATTTTTATTTATCTAAAAGTATTCAGGGAGTTTTTAAAATTACCGTGTCCGAGGCCTTTTCATCTCTTTGTTAAAGAAATTAGGACTCTGTAGTGCTTGTCACAGTAATATAATACTTCATTGGTTAAGACAGGCACTGCTATTTCTTACATCAATGCTGAGTGCTCATTTTCACCCAGACCTTACTTTTAGACTATAAGCACATTGTTAATACTTTGATCCCCGATCAATACTATCAGTTATACCTATAGATATTCCATTGCTGTTAACAAAGAGAACGGAGCCTTACATTTTTTTATTTTGCAATTTTGTCCCCCATTTAGTAATCTGTTGCTTTTTTTAAGACTTTCTTTTGATGGTGTGCGCATGCGTAACTTGTAATAACTTTTTTGATCACTGTGTTGTTAAATAATATGTTTGCCAGATACATGAATTATGAAACCGTTGTATCGGAAAATCTAACACTTCATCCTATATTTGAAGTTGTTTTTTGCTAGAGATGATGTTAAGTCTATTTCAAATTATAAGTATATTTATAATAATATTTCGTAATAGCTGAAGTTAATTTTTTTGATTTCATTCGTTTTCTATCTGAACTAAATTTATAATGCTTTCATAATTAGAATTTCTTGTAGTTAGAGATAAATCTTTCACAAAGTGAAAATTGTCTGGTATAAATATTTAAAAAGTTTTTAAAGACGACTTTCTCAATTATAAATATTGAAATGAATTTTCGCAATAAACTAAAGAATATTTTTTTAAATAAATTCCCATATTATTAAAATTAATTTTGCGCTTATGAATTAAAATAATTATGTAAAACTAGTAGTGAAGTAGTCTATTATTAAGCAGACTTTGCTTCACAACTAAAAATATTAAATCTATTCATTTACAAAATAAAGCTTATTTAACTTCATATTTTCCCATTCTTTTTTAACCTCAACATATTTACTAATTTAATTACTAAGCATATTAATTTTACTAGTTTACGTTACATTAATTATATGTGGAAGTTTTATATTCTATTTTTTATGAAATCTATATTTTTGTTGTAAATTCATTTCATATTAGACCAAAGTAAAAATATAAGGAGTGATCGAAAAGTATGGGTACTATCAAATTTATTGTTAAATATGCATCACACAAGATATAAAAAAAACATGGAAGATAATTTCAAAATATCCATACAATGATACCAAATTCAACTCTCATTAATTTCACCCCCCCTGAATATAATTTTAAAAGTCATAAATAGAAAACTGCACTTTATGTTGCAGATTTGGATTTTTCAGAAAAAATTATCCCTATTTTGTTTGCAGGATGTTGCGTTGCTCTAATCTCACTATGAAATGGACTGCAAATTGTTCAAAATGGAGATATCTCGAGAAGTACCTGTCAGATTAAATAAGTAAATTATTAAACAGGTTTCATACTGTTTAAAACAACTATCTACTGATACTAAACTCTACTCAATTCCAGGAATCACTCCAGCTTCAGAAAATGGGGTGGAAGTCGAGTTATGAGTCATTAGATAGATTTTCAAAATGTCAAATGCGACTGCTTTTATTTAAGCTTACATGTATTATAAGTAAATTAAATAGTCTGCACCCTGTTTTCATTTTACAATTAAAGCTCCATCTGTGAACCAAAGTAGGCAACAAGTNCTTCTTAAAAAAAAAAAAAAAAAAAGATTCCCATTTAAGATTTTGAAGTTGCTTAAAGTTTAAGATTCCTGTTTAAGATGTTGAAAGGGGGGAGTTTGTCACAAATGAATGCATCTTTAATGAATCTTGATTTTTTGACTTTTAATCTGATGAGTTTTTCTAAAAATATTTGACCATTTTGATACTTTTCTGACATACTGTTTAAAAATGATTATCTTTTAGAGTAAAGAATATAGAAGGACTTCGTGTGGTTGATGCTTCAATCATGCCCATTGTACCGTCAGGAAACACGAATATTCCAGCCATAATGGTTGCAGAAAAAGCAGCTGATCTCATTAAGCGAACCATCACCTGTCCATAGGCATCGTGGAATCGGAGATATTGGTAAAAAGGAGTCACATACTGACAAAGTAAAGAATGAGTTCACCTCTCTGTATTGGTCATTAATAAATCATAAAATGAATGTAATAGATATTCAAAGATAAGTTGTTAAAGTGTATTTATATTTATCTTGCATGCAAATGATTTGCTTCATAATAGAAAAAATGCATACCGTTGGAGAGGCTTTATCATGGAGCACATCCTTACATGTTCCAATCATAATTTCATTCGAGTCTTTGCACCCAACTGCTCTCAAACTCTAGTAGCTGCTGTGTCTGTACATTTTACTACAAATTCATCATCAGTTTTGAAGATATCTCTTGCTTCACTTTAACCTTTTTTTTTACTCAAGGACTTTAGTACCGACGAAAAATTTGGACATGCCTCCTCTGCTAGGGCACTTGACTCATCGTTTTTTTCTTCTTTTTTTTTTAAAGAAACAAACAAAAAGATTTTGATAATCATACTTGTTTTTAAATAAAATACCCAAATTGCATAAATTTCAGAATTCTACTATTTATTATAAAAACAAATACTGATAATGAATGTGACTCACATCACTATTAAAACACAACAAAAACAAAACAATCACATCAAAAATGTTTAATCGAAGTAAGTCCGGTAACATAATTTATAGTAAAAGCACTACCAGTGATTCTCGCCGCCTGTACTCTTGACCTATCGCGCTTATTTGAAGGAAGGAATACCATAAGATAATTTTTTTAAAAATGGGGGCAAGGATAAGGATAAGTCGATTAAAAAGGGATGGAGTGAGGGACATGCGGAAATCATTCAACACAGATTTGTACAAATATAAGTATTTTGGAATATATATATATATATATAATAAATTTATTTTATTATTTTATTTTATTTTAATATTTANATATATATATATATATATATATATATATATTCCAAAATATTTAAAATAAAATTATAGGTGGCACCATTTCTGTTCTAAACTCTTCAACTTCTATTTTATTTGATATACAATCTATAAAATTTTACTCTTTATTAAGTTGTATAACAGAAAAAAATTAATAATTGAAATGGTTAATTTGAAATAAAACTAATTGTTTTACTAGCCAATAACAATAAAACTTTTATCTGCGTACCTTTATTGGTGCTTATGTTTTCTGAGTATAATAATGCTTTTTTCATCTCTCTGTCTCATACGCTCTTCGAGTTATATCCGTTTTTGAAAACTGCGTCTCATGTTAAAAGTCGTGGACCACGATGGACAAGACTGCCTCGATTTTTTTTAACACTTCAGTGCCTTAAACAATAACAATAATAAATAAAATTGCGTTAGGTGTTTCACATTTGCTCAATCCTCCTTAAATCTTGAACTAAACTTGATTCAGTTGAAACAAAGTAAATTAAAAAAAAACTAATTTATTCTCATAATCTAGTATCGATATAATTTTGACGTAATTTACCTTTCGTAAAACCTATATTTTTTTGAGTGCAATGATGTTTATCACATTTGCTCTATTTTAAAAGATTCTTGAATAACGATCATTTTAGTAAACTGTGTCCCCCCGGCAGAGCTCTTCTAACTCCCTAAACTAGCTATTCTCCTAGGAGAACGTGAAAAAAACTAAAAAGAAGGCGTTACTAAATCAAGAAAACTCCATGAGGAATATTATTAAAAAATTTAATTTTCTGAAAGAAACCCAAATATAATACAGTTAGACATAAATATTAAAATGCACCTTTACACTGGTATAAATACCCTTAGAATTAAGATTGCACCAGTACTGCACAATAATTAAGTTATTTTAAAAACAAAATTATTACTTATTAGTTTCCTCCTATGGCATGACTTAGAGAGTAAAGTTTTTCAAAATAAGATTTAAGATTAGAAATCGACAATCTAAGCTTTTTTTCCCATATTTTGCTGAGATCTATTGTTTGTTTTCAAAGCATATAAGCATTATGTATCTTTGGATTTGGTTTTTTTATTTTTAAATAAACTATGATGATAATTGAAGAATATTATAAAAATTTGTAAAATTATGTTATAGCAATATATTTCAGTATAAAACTAATTTTTGACTAACTTTCAAGTTTTTTTTTTATTATTAAAGTCGTAATGTAGCTTTTGCGTCAAAGTACAAGTAAATTGAATTGAATAGAAACAATCGAAACTAATATTACCTTTATATACAGCACGATTTTAGAGAAAACTATTGCATAAGGGGGTGAGGAGAATTGTGATTGAAAATCAAGTCTCAAATATCAAAAGGTTCAAAAACTCTGACCACTCAGATAGAGGATCGGGGCATTGTTTTTCTTTCTTTTTTTCTTTTTAACGATTCGATTGAAGTGCTGCCAAAAATAAGCATAAACAAAATTGCACTGGTCTCTCCGATTTTTTTGAAAATCCCTGCCAATGCATGATTTACATGTTTGTCTTAATAAAATAGCTGAAACGTTTTAATTTCACTCAGCTTGCCAACTACTGAATTAAAATCACCTATATTTCCAATACAGTCTTGATATTTCGTGCAATGTAAAACGTAAATCACTCCCACAGCAGTTCGTTGTGAACCATGGGGCTATGGAGGTTAAGTCTCTGCAATTTGGTGACAAACGACATCCCGGTGAACATGAGGTCAGTATTGCTCATAACTCACCTTTACTTCCCACACAAGCTGTCATGCATCGATGTAATGCTCGGCGGGCTTCATGTCAACACTGAGGTTTGAATCCCGGACTTCTCAATGGCAACTTAGTGCCAATAATCACTGAGCCACACAAACACACACCAACATTTAATCCCGCGCCTTATCGGTTAATGGTTAAGGTTGGAAGACTAGAAAAATGAGAAAAAATAAAAAATAACAAATAGAAAATAAAAAGAAATATAAAATTTAATATATATATANCCCCCCTTTTTTTCATATGTCTATAATTTTTCTTTGTTTTATTCTTCATTTTGAACTTATCTAATGAGTGCTGTTTACTTGCAGCTTAAGCGCAATAAATGAAACTTCTTAGTGTTGTGAAACGTGTTTTTCTTAACTTTCTTAGTGTTTTCTTGTATTTATTTATTTTCTATATATATATATATATATAGTTAATCTTTGATAAAAATTACTTTACAAATCACATATTCACTTACGATTTATAACATTTTGAAACTGAATACGGTTCTACAGTTTAAATTGTTAAATAAGCTAGGAACAACCTTAAATGTCATGCTGCCATTTATAAAGGTAACTAATTTGTAATTCGTAAAGATCTTCTAAAAACTTACCCGTATATTTACAAAAATACTAATTTATTTTGGTATCTATTAAAAAAGTCATTTAAATTATGTAATACTGAGTGAAAAAAATTTTACATGACATTTTCGCCTCAATTACTAATTTTTTTCTCCGCATTTTTGTCTATATTATGCTAAATCTTGAAATACTTGAAATGTTATTCAGTTAAGAAGCAGGACCAGGTGATTGAAAGAGTTGTTTAGTTTAATGATAAAGATCATTTTAAAAGTTTAAATTTTTTTTGTAAAAGATTAAGTTAAAATGTTTGAAATTATGATATGTTAAGCAACCAATCAATAAAAGAGACATTTCATAGTAGATGATAAGAAATTTTTGTGCAAGTCATTATTTTAAATCTTGACATTTTATATCATTTGTAATACTATTTAACGCTTTAATGATGATATAAATCTTCTAAAACAAATTTAGCTTCCTATTTAATTTTTTTTTATATAAAATATTAATGTTTTCAATCACAGAAGAATAATTCAATCAATTGTAAAGAAACACTTGTGTTTAAATATTCATCCATGATGGATTTTTTGTTTATACTCCGATTAACGTGCATGACTTTTTTAACGGATATGATTAGCAGTAAGACTTAAATGATAAATAGACTTCCGTTTTCACCTTAATGCGGATTAAAAGACCCCATTTGAAACATAGAATAGAAATCCAGGGAAGTCTCGAAACTTTTTCTTCGCAATAGCATAACAGTAATATAGTCGTATAATACAAATAAACTAACATTAAATGATAAAAAAAAAATAGGAAATATTAAAATAGCATATTTACTGGTATCTTCAACTTAAGCCCGACTTTAGAAATGTAAATAATTTTACCTTAAGTTCTGCTTTACATATATTGATTTCCTCAAGCTGATTTTATTCAAAGTTATCTATTTTAATTTTTATAACCTGCGTTGAACAGCCGACACAATTCCAAGTTTACGAATCTCAATGATCAGCTTCGTAGCCACGTAATTTTGAACCAAACCCAGAAGACAAGGAAACTTATAATAAGGGTTAAGGAATACTCCTGCTTTCACACTATAAGTTATTCCATACTAATTTTTAGCTTTAAAATTTATTTTTAGGATTGTTGTCGAAAATGAATTAAAAAAAGCATTTTAGGCCAGCAGAAATGACGAAGATATCTAGACCCCAAAATATCTCCTCAGAAATCAAGTTATGGAAATGCACACTCCAAGAATAATACATTAATATTTAATCCGTTCAAGAGCATTCATTGGGTCATGTTATCATATATTAGATGATATTTTCCGACACCAGCGGACCATGATCACACGAACGTGATTTCTATCTAAACTAAATTCAGTGGAGTGACAGCCCATTGAGGGCCAAGGCCTACTGTGCCCATCTCAGTTTTCCTGTCCTTGGGCTCTGGAGTACAGAAGCAGATGTTCCAGTTGGGTGGTCAGTTGAACGCGAAGCCCCCAGTGTTTAATTCACAAGCATGCTTGGTGCTCATTTATCGACCCACCGAAGGGATGAAAGGCTGAGTCAACCTTGCCCGGCCCGAGGATTGAACCCAGGACCTGTCGCATATCTGGAACGCTTTGCTTCACTTTTTAAACGACACAAAATGGCGATTTGTGTCAATCTCATTTTGCGGGTACTGAACTGGCTAAATGGGTAAAAAGGGAAAAAAATTCAGAACTTGACGAATTTTTATGGAAGCTAAAAATAGAAATGAGAGAGGAAAAACACAAAAACCTGTTTAATTTCTAGACTCTTATCTGAGAAATTGGGGATATAAAAACAATTGTTAGAAGTACCTTGTCCTCAAGAATCAACTGGCAATCA